TTGCGGAGGGGGAAAAATTCGGAGGATCCAGCGAAGACGAACAACAACCTCACATGCGACAGGTAGACCTAATGTATGGTTGGAGGAAGTCAAAACAGACAGCGATGTAATGTTGATGATGCATGGGTCAGATGAAATTGTGTTAACAGTTGTAATTTCGTAGACGGAATATCGTGTATTTATCTTGTACGCGCAATATTTATTGTAGCAAAATCTGTTAACGGAAAACCCTAATGTTTACAACATAATTAAGGAAAGATTTTATGTATTACAATTTTTATGTGGTCGAGGCAGACGCCCGATTCAGACAATTTTTGCGATTGTGTCCGACCTGACGGCATAAACCACACTTTCTTTCCAGCTTGTCAAGATCGTCCATTTCTGTTGTGATTCACTTACTTTTGGGACAACCCTTCTTGTTCCTTCGCATATGGTCATTGTGCCACACTATTTCGCCGTCGTATGCAGGTCAATAATCTGGTTTTTCTACCAAAGGAAAGTTGTTGTTGTAAACGTTGAGCAACGTTTCAGATTTGTAAATGTGTGACAGAAGTTGCAGCGCGTCTTGATGGGTATGAGCACAAGCGACAATGACATGAGAGCAAGGCATACGAAATGCTTGAAACCTGCCACAATCGCACCGAGGAGAAGGTAGCATGACCCTATATTCTTGTCTTGGCAGGCCTTCGTTGTGGTCGATTGTCTCTTTCACAATGAAGTTGTGGCTGTTTCGGTCAAACCGTATAACCATATGAGTGTTGGCTTTGGCACTTTCTGCCTTAATATATTTCATGCATCTTTCACTCCATAGTTGTCCAGATTGCAACACCGCATTCCACATTTCACCTCTTTTGACAAATAACGCAGCCATCCTAAAATACGTAGATTTTACCAAACAGTGATCGGGAGGTTTCGTATACCTTTGAATACCCCATTCACCGATTCAATAAGATTCGTTGTCATGTACCCCCATCTTTGGCCATTGTCGTATGACCTAGTCCATTTTTCCACCGGAATATTGTCGATCCACCTACCGGCTTCTGGATTTGACAAACGGATCTCATTGCGGTAATATTTGAATGTGGGTTGTGTCAATGCATATCCGGCATTCATAACTGCTTTCCTTAGTGTTTTGTCCTTGATCTCCCTCGTGAAATTCTGGACGATATGCCTAACGCAATAGACATGCGTAGAAGGAGGGTCATACCAACCGTTTATAGGATTATTGTAGGCACTTTCAATGGAGGCATGTCTATCTGAGATCAAATAGAGATCTGGTTGAGGAGCCACGTGTGTCCGCAGATTTTTCAGAAAAAAGCTCCAAGCACCACCGGTCTCCCCCTCGACAAGGGCAAAGGAAATGGGGAAAATGTTGTTGTTGCCATCTTGTGCAAATGCCATCAGTAGCATGCCTTTGTACTTCCCATACAACCAAGTCCCATCAATTTGTATAATTGGTTTGCATGATGCAAACCCTGTGATGTAAGGTTGAACTATTTCCAGAACGTAAACAGTACCCAGAGAATTCGTCTTGAGTGCATTCAGGTAGCGAGGAAGTTCTTGGTATGGCTCCTCCCAGTTTCCGTACACCTTTTCAATTGGGATGGCGACACCTTTCATTTTTGTACTCTTTCGCCAAGTCTAACGGCGCCTCCCTTAATATCCAATCGTGTTACATGCATGCAGATATGTAACCCCCTAGGCTGCCACCTAGCCTGCGCCTACTCTGCACTTACACTGTATCTTGTAAATCTCCTCCCATCACCTCCAATAATGTTACATGCATTCAGGCATGGAATCCCAAAGGTTGTCACGTAGCCTGAGCCTAGTCTGCAACCAATGACACCTCTTATTCGCCAATTGGGATGGCAACACCTTTCATTTTTGTACTCTTTCGCCAAGTCCAATGGCGCCTCCCTTAAGTCCAATCGTGTTACATGCATGCAGATATGTAACCCCCTAGGCTGCCACCTAGCCTGCAAGAGTGACACTTCTCATGCATGCATCCACCAGCTACCACCTCACTCACTCTATGAAATTTTTTTGCCTATAAATACATAACATATCATACATCTCTCACACCCACACTCGTCTCACTCTCTGCTACGAAATCTTTCATAATCTCTTACACTTTCTAAGTCTTTCATAATCTCTTACATTTTCTAAGTCTTTCAGAATCTCTTACACTTTCTAAGTCTTTCATAATCTCAAGCATTTTAAACAATGGCTCTTCTAACAATGGGAGATTCTCACAGAGGCACAAGGGAAAACATTGCTGCATTTGTAAGTTTCTAATTTGGTTATACATTATTTATACTTAAGGTAATGCTATGTTCATCTTACTTAATCTTACATCTTTTACATTATTAACTCAGGATACCAAAAGATTTAGAATCCGGTCTCACAACTATTTGGCTCCCGACCCATTTATCGTACCATATCTGGAATACGCAGGTTTCAGACATGTTATAAAGATTTCCAACTGCACAATTGATTCGAAGTTCATTCTTGCAATGTTGGAAAGGTGGAGACTAGAGACCCATACATTTCACCTACCAATAGGTGAATGTACCGTCATGCTAGAGGATGTGTACATGTTACTAGGTCTCCCTGTCGACGGTAAGGCCGTGAATGGGTCAGTTCAACAACCCAACTCTCAGTGTGAAGAACTGTTGGGCAGGGATATGGTAGAAGGTGGTGGTGCGAGAGGTTAGGAAATACTACTCACTGAGCTTAAAAGTCATTATGCAAGTTTGGAATTAAACGAAAATTCCTCCGAGCAAGACAGGGTAGTAAAAGCCAGAACTTATCTTATGATACTATTAGGTACCTTTTTATTTCCCGAAAGTACGGGAAATAGTGTAAATTTTATGTATTTACATTTACTTAGAGATTTTGAAAAAACAAGAAAGTATAGTTGGGGTTCTGCAGTTTTAACCCACCTATACAGTTCCTTGTGCAAAAATGCAGTCAAGGAAAAATGTACATTTTATGGGTGCGCTTTTTTACTACAAGCCTGGGGTTGGTGGAGGATGGAGTCCTTAAACCCCGTCAACAACAACACTTTCGTTTTCCTGTACGCAACAAAGTAAGTCATCAAGTTATATCATTTATTACTATTCATCTCTTCACCAAATATATGCTAAAAATAAAATGTTTTTCATTTCCTTTAGGTATTGCGTGAGGGGTATGGATTACGACAAGAATCTAAAATTCAATGTCGCACTATACCGCAATCTGTTGGATCACTTAGGCCCGGATGATGTACGTCGTACCTTTAAACTTTTCTTCATTTAAATTATTTATATATTACATTTTCGTTAACCTGATTTATATTTTTTCACCGTTCGTCTGGAGACCATATTTGGGTTTGGGCCATGATCCAAACCCGAAGGATGTAGAAATTTGGACCGCGAACACTGCAATCATTCGGTTCAACATTATGGAGATGCACCACAGTGACTGTGTGAAGATGCAGTTCGGAATGCATCAAGAGATACCAAGTGATCCAACTTGTTTGTCCCCATGGCATCTCAAAAGGGTCGACGCCCAGTGGGATCTTACCAACTGGAAAGACTTCTCTCCGGAATGGTGTAAGATGTGGCAGAGGCGTCACCGATATGTCTTGCAATTCCAGGTTTTCCTTAATCATGGTAATATGCGACACACGGATCAATATTTATCTTGGTACAGGTCGGTTAGTAACCCTGAAATGCACGTGTCTCATCCAAGGTACTTGGTTGACCCACACACACAATGGGCACAACCCTCGTTTCCCCAACAACAAACCCAAAACCCATCAATCTCCCACCAACCCCCCAAAAGAAACAAAACCACAAACACCCAACCACAGTCCCCACCACAACACAATTACACTCAAATGCCCTACAACCAACCACAATCACCACCTCAGTACCAATACCCCCATATGCCTCACACCCAACCACAATACCAATCACAATACCAACACACCCGCATACCACACACACAATTTCAGTCTTCCGTATATCCCAATATGGGCCCCTCAACATCCAGCCTTAGCCCTGATATGAGAATGTCAAAAGATTACAAACAAACCGACCCAGCCTACCATCAACCACAATATCACCAAACCACCCAACATCCTCAATACCAAACACCCCAAGATCCATTTCCTTTCTACCCACCATACTCAGACGATCAATGCTACAGACCCACCATGGAACCCCACCCACCGCCAACACGACCAAACTTTGAGGGTATGGGTAACCGACTGTACCAAAGCGGATCTTCTAGATATGGAGATCTGACTGATTTTATGGATCCAGAACGCATTGACTACGCTGGGCCATCGACCCTGCCATAGCAGGAAACGCGACGACACCCAGCACAGGAAAGGCAAGGACGGGGATGCGGAACCGGGGGTCATTACCGGGTTTCGAGGGATCACTGATTTATCTGTGTTTTTTTCTGTTTTTTTATCTGTTTTTTTAATGTAATACATTTGGATGTAATTTTTTTTTTAATAAAAAGTCAATTTTTTTATCCTGTATCCAATACGCAACGCACCAGACAAAAAAAAAGCAAAATTTGTCCTAGAATTACACATAGGCGCCATCTCACTTGGCTTAGGGCATGCCTTAAGCACATATGCGCCAAGTGAGATGGCGCCTCCCCTTAAATAATGGATGTAGGCGCCAAGTGAGATGACTCCTCCTTTGAAGAGTCATCTGAAACATGATTATTTGCGTAATTTTTTCCAAAACACAGTTATTTGCGAAATTTTTTTTAATTCTTGATTATTCAAAAAAAAAAATTCACTAAATTAGTCTAACTAATAAGCTAAATTATTTAATCAATGAGGGGAAGGACATAATAAACCTAAATATTCACCAATAATTAAATTAATTAAAAAACAAGACCATTAAAACATATGGGGTTGCGCCCCCTTCCAGCAAATCATCATCTTTTCCTTATTATTTTCTTTAAAAAAAAGATGAAACCATACCACCACCCATAAACTAACATGTGTCCTCCTAAAACCAAAAAAAGAAAAGTAAGACAAATGATGATATAAGACATGTATCAGAGAAAAGAAAATAATATAAAACCTCCTTATCTACTTCTACGGTTCCTTCAGACTTTGCCCCTCCTCTTAATTTGTTGAAACAACAACTTAAAGGATTCAATAATCACTTTTTACATTTGAGACGCGTTTCTCTTACATACAATCCAATTTCTTCATAAACAACATCACAACCCAACTCTCAAATAATATCGTAAGTGAACAAGAAATAAGGAAATTACCTCCGCAATAATCAGATTGGGAGAAGAAATAAGGCCGCTAGGCGTGGCTACGGATGGTGGTGGATGAACCGCATTTAGAAAGTGGTGCAACAGGCCGGGATCCAGAAGCGATGGTGAAGCAGCTAATAGTGTTAATTCGCGATGGCAAAGTTGCATCCGGTTGCGGAGATGCATGGGAGAAGTGGCTTCCTCCATCGAATTCGTCGAAGTTTTTTGCAGCAGAAATTGTATTTTCCTCCTCTTTTCTTTGATTGTTGATTCGGTAGTTGATGTGGTTGTGACTTCACTTGAATATCCTTTCTCTATTTCATTCTTTCTCTGCAAAAAAAAAAAGACAAAAATAATTGTGTGTGGAATCGTGTATGTTTGTTACATGTGGTGGATTAAGGTGATGATAATGTGAAGGTATTTTTTTATTTAGATTTTGTTTGAAGGTTTGCAGGTTTTTGTTAGTGAAAGATTGATGGTGTTGAATTGTTCTTGTTAGGATTAGAGGTGGTGAATGGATTTCACGGTTAAACGACGATATTATACAACTTTTGTTGTATCTGTGTTTTATTATGTGGTGAAGAGTGAGTGGATCTAAGTTGTATGTACAATATGAACAGAAAAGTTTTTGTGATCAGTAAGGATTTGCGAGAAGTGTATGAGTTCACATGTGTGTACTGTGGAGAAATATTATGATAGTGTGAAAATTGGCTTTAAAAACCAAACAAGGGTTTGCATAGTATACGTGAATATGGTATGGGAGAATGAGTTTAGAAATTGGCCTCCCTTCTCAATGAAAAATGCTACCTATTTATAATGTGGCAAAAGTTGACCTAATAATTTGAAAAGGAAAATAATTTGTCATAAAAACTTTTGATTTAAATTGTCAAAATTGCTTTTCTTTTTCACTAAGCTGACAAAATTTCTACAAATAAATGATAACTTCCTTTTTTTGGATTTTTTCTAAGAAATGCATAAAACAATGCATTAAAGAAAAAATAATATTTTTTAAAGAACCTAATAATAAAAAACGAAAATTAATTAAAAATAAAAGAAAAATAGAATTTTGTGATTTTTGAATAAAAATAAATAAAAAGATTAGTAGCAAATAAAAGGGAAATAATGCAAAAAGTAGTAAAGGTGGGGTTCAAACTCATGACCTTATACTTGCAAGTGTAACCTCCATATCAATTGTGCTAAATATATTTTCCATTTAAGAAATATAAATAATTTAAAGTAAATTATTATATGTTTTTAAATAAGCAAAATAAATTAATGTTAAAATGTTAGTAAAATAAATATAAAAAACCAAGTTTGAAAATAATTTGATTGTAAGGAATAGGGCGGGCAAATTTGGAGTATGACAACAAGGACATTATGTCATATGATGATAGACTTTTCATTTACTTCCTGGTTAATCATATTGGGGTCAACTTTCCCCTATCTATCTTCAACTACCTGAAGGACTCAGTTGCTATCTCTAGAAGCCAACATAAGTCCTTCATATACCTTTTGGAAGAGTTTTGTCAGAACTCTTTCTATAAGGCAAAGATCATTGGAGTAGTTCGAAGGGCTGGATCGGATAATGCCCTTGTGGAAGAAAGGTGTAAACTCTTTGAAAATTAGTTGGATGGGTGGTTATTTCTGCTGGGTGTTTGTGTGTTGTTGTTTGGGTGTTTGTGGCTTTGTTGTTTTCTCTTGTGTAATCTTTTGTGTCTCATTTGTACTCTCCCCACCATTGAATAAAAGTTTCTATTTCTTGAACTTGTTCTTTATTCTTTATTTTTCATTTACTATTCGTGTTGTTAGAGAAAAGTGTTCTAAAATGAAAATAATTTTCTTTGTCTTTTTAATCATTTTAATTTCTGACAAAGGGGGAAAAAGTGATATGATTTTGATATATATCTAATCTTAGAATCTGTTCCAAAACATGATATAATTTTTTCCTCTAACATGTTTGACTCAGGAACTTTGAAAAAGTTCACTAAATTTTCTTAACAGGAAAACTAGGAAGCTCTAAAGGAGATTCATAAGCTAGAGATACAGAGGTCATGGGATATAAATCTTCTGCAAGAAGAAAATTCAACTAGACTCTGATGGACTTCGATTTTGATATATATCTAATCTCAGAATTTGTTCCCAAACATGATATAATATTTTCCACTATAATGTTTGACTCAGGAACTTTGAAAAAGTTCATTGAATTTTCTTAACAGGTAAACTAGAAAGCTCTGAAGGAGATTTAGAAGCTAGAGATACAGAGGCCATGGGTTGTAAATATTCTGCAAGAAGAAAATTTAACTTGACTCTGATGGTACATCAAGTCTATCAAGACTTTGATACAAGGCTTGAATACAATCATGATCTAATACCATCAACCAGACTCTGATGATGATGTGAAAAAGTCCAAACAAACTCTATGCACCATAGTGTTCTGAAAGTATAGCCAAAATCTTAGATGAAGATTTCTGCAACACTGTTTAGACCTGATGGTAAAACCAGGTCAAACACCTCATCAAACTCTGATAGCAAGATAGAATCTGAGATGAAGATTTCTACATCAATAGTCAGACTCTGATGGTATATCAATCATGGAAGTATTCCTTTGTTCTGATTGTTTTGTGTTATTTTTCTCAAAACTTTTTTAAGCCTTGAACTCAAGGGAATACCTTGAAAAATATTAAAAAAGTTATGGGAATATGGAACTAAGAAGGGAGCTTTTTAATCTTTGGATAACAAAATGCTAGATTAAATAAATTGTATAACTCATATGAGACATATATGCTACCTAAAAATTATATTGTGCATTTACAGAAACTCTGATGGATATTAGCATAAGAATGTCAACATCAGCATCAGAAGATGAAATATCATATGCCAGCATCAGAAGATCAAAGCATGTGCTTACGCTGAAGCTTGATGAACAAATCTGCGCTTAACATAATCTAAACTCTGATCAAGACCAAAACAATATCATCAGCACCTAGAAGCGTCAGAATAAGCCAAAGCAAATAACACGCTTAATTGACAACGGTACTGTGCATTCAAGACACTTTATTACCAACGGCTGTATTCCAAGACAAAGATCTTCTCAATATGGAAAGAACGTAATATGCATTGAAATGGAATAATTGACTACAACGTATCTTTTCCAAGGCTATATAAACAAGTCAGTGAGAAATGAATTGGCTAATGCTCTACAACTCTTTACACGCCAAAAGCAAATCATCTTCATCCTCACTCATACAGCTTGCTATATCTCTCAAATTGCTTACTCCATAGTTATAACATCCTAGTTTCACATAAGCTTAATTTGTGTATTATCACAGTTGTGATATAAAGTTTTTGTAGAAAACATTCAACACACATAGTATTCATTTATCTGTAAGAAAGAATTTCCTTGAGAAACTGGTCTGTGGTTTAGACTCAAGAAGGCTTTAGCAGTTGTTAAAGCAGTTGTAATATTCAGTTGAATATAGTGGATTAAGACCTCGTTGGAGAGAGGCGAAATCACCTTGACGGGTGGACTGGAGTAGTTTGAGATCAAACGAACCAGGATAAAAATAACGTGTTGTCTGCATTTGATTTCAAGTTTTACAATTCAACCCCCCTTCTTGTGTTTTTCACTTCTTCAAAACGCTCTCAAAAACTTTTTCCTATACATTGAGACACTATTATGCAACTTAGGACACGATTTTTGCAAGCCTGAAACTCTCTCAAATTCCCTCTAGCCATAAATTGCACACAAACTCCATTTTTGTGCAGGTTCTGACCTTGAACTTGTATCTTCTATTTCCCTCGTGCGTTCTTTGGCCTTTTAGTTCCTAAAGCTCCTATACATCAAATATAACTTGTACATGTCCCTGTTACATGATTGTAACACCATTTGCATCAAACTCCATAACTAAGAACAGAGAATTTCACATTAACTTCTCTAAGTCATTTAAGCCACTCTCAACTCAAGCAAACCATTGCATTAGCTTCCTAGGACCTCAAGGAAGCTAACCTGATCATCACCATCACTTGAAACAAGCTCAAACTCCAAACACGATTTCCAGTTTTGAGGTAAGTTTTCTCAACTTGGAACTCTTCATACATGCATCATCAATAGTTTATTTGTGAATAAAACATGTATATATCATTGCCCTGAAGCTAACCATATCCTTAGTTTCCATTAATTTTTCTTGAGCTTAGAGAATTTTGAAACTGAAATTTCTGAAATTTTTAGGGTTTAGATTAGGGCCATTAAACTTATTTCTTATCTTTGATCTATAGTTTTAATACTTTACATTTCTGGAATCGTGAGAAAATTTGCTACAAGTTTCATGTTTACAGATTTAATTTTTGATGAGAAATAAGCAAGTTACAGTTAGTATGGCTGGAGGTTGAAGATGATGTCTTCAGAACATGTTTTTCCTTACATATTTATTGTTTCATATGTATTAATGGATGTATAGCCACCCCAGTGGTAGAAACGTGCGCCTGTAACCTATGGGACCTGGGTTCGAGCCCCAGTGGTACCTTTTTCATTTTTCATATTTTTACAATTCTGACTTTTTTGTTTGCAGGGCGCTGGGCCTCCTTGGGCCTGGCTTATTTTTTTTTATTTTTTGCTTACTAACCTCCCTATTGACTAATGGCACCCCTGCCCCAAGTTTGTTTTTTTTTTATTTATTTCATTTTTATTTGCTTAAATATATTTTCTAAATACTAAATAATCATAAAATACAAAAAAATGATATATTTATATTTTGACTTAGTTTATTTTATTTTTCTCACGAAAATATTTTAATTAATTATACTTTATTTATCTATTTTACTTATTATCTTATAAATAAAATTAGGTTATTAGTTATTTTTCTTTCATAATAATTTAAATGCATTATTTTTTATATAAAAAAGGACTAAAATAATTTATAATGCTATAAATATTTTCAAGATAAAAAACACCAAAAATACTTTTCTTAAAATTATTTTCTTTTGATTAATTAATAGAACTAGGTTTTCATTTAAAATATTTTCTTAATAAATTCATGCTTAATTAACTATTTTCTTTATTTAATTAGGTTAAGACAAAATCTTTTTTCATGAAAACCAAACAAAATTCATTTTCTTTACATTTTTGCATCCTTGTACATTTATTCATTTTTATACTTTGTATTTATTTAATTCCTTGTATATTCATACCAATTCAAATTGGTTGTAAT